TCCTGCTGGGAAATCCTGGCGCCATCCCTGGGTCGGAGTCCCTTGGAAAGCCCTGAAAGTTTTCAGGGATGGTCTGAGGCAATGTGAAAATTGCAATAAACGCATCATAAATAATATAGTAAGCCTAACAATAGTTAAAACTCAATAGTGGTGGATCCAGGAATTCAGAGAGGTGATCTGACGCAGGGAGGGACTTTACAAATTGAGGAACCACCCAAGAAAATTTATGATTAGTGCACCTCTAGATGACCAGAAATTACACTCTCAGACTTAAATTTGGATAGGGCATATTTTTCTTGTTTTAATTAAAAAAATTTAGGGTGTTGGGTGGGGGTGGGGACATTGAATCCACCACTGCTCAAAACATTATTTACCCAAACAGTGGCGGCTAGGATATAATTTATGAGGGGGCTAAGATGTCCGACTGGGGGAGGGGGATAAGTATTTATGCTGTCTCTGTAACAAGAATGCGCAGCGTTGTTTGAGGGCCGAAGACCCGAGCTCCCCTGCCCCCCCCCCCACTGGCGCCGCCACTGTATCCAAAATAGTCATAATCACTAAAAAAAAAAACAGCTAGATCACATCCTAAAAACAAATTTATGCGGGGGGGGGGGCTTGACCAAACCGTGTGAGGGCTTAAGCTCCCCTGCCCCCTCCCCCCACTGGCGCCGCCACTGTATCCAAAATAGTCATAATCACTATAAAAAAAACAGCTAGATCACATCCTAAAAACAAATTTATGCGTTTTCGCCTCATCAGCAGTCACTAAGACATACTCTGAATCAGGTGTCGACTCGATGGGGTTTTATGTCATACCCAGGAAGAGCGCAATGTGTTTTAAAGGGTGAAGGTGGGGGAGGGGGGACATCGCACCTCAGACCCACTATGGTTGGGGCTGAGGTGCGAAAATTTGAGGGAACCATAGAGATCTTATTAATATGTGTGATGTACCATAGTAAAATTCATCATCATCACATCATCATTATATAGTCAAAATGAAACGCCAGCAAATTTCTCACGATCTTTTATCAGGGATCTACTTAATATCCAAGACAACTTTGGCCTAACTGTAGCTTACTATGTAACTTACTTTTCCCCCTTTAGCACAATTTACTCCACTTCTTCTAAATTTAGTATTTTCATTTGCATTACTGAATTTATAATACAGTTCATAATTTCCAGTTTGTACTAAATCTTTGTGTAAGCTATACATTCGTCAATGCCAATGTTATTTAGAGCCGGACAACTAAAGATGAAATTAATGATGAATATCCTCATCAGAATTAAGAGTGCATAATTTGTACATTTCTTGTTATTATCCAGATTTAATTTTGAAGTTCTATTGTTTAATGGTAAGGCAATCTGAGTTTGAATTTTAATACAATTCCTTCAAAATCTAATCAATTTTGTCAATGAGGTAATTTTTGAGTTAAGGTTTTAATTTCAAATGTCGCATACTCTTAAAGAGATGATTTGTTTTGGAGATCCGTTCTCCATGCATCTATCCTAATGATATCAAGTTTTCTCAAGTTTTCGGAACATATGGATAATAAAACTCTATATTGTTCAAGAGAGCTGTGAAGATATCATTTAATTTACATTCACATTTCATATGAATATCATTTAGGCAAGACAGAAATTTGTACCATAAGTCTTTTAACTCACCATCGAGTTGTAACATTCCAATTAATAAAAGTTTAGGCCATTGGTATGATTCCATAGTAATCAATATATTAAAATATTTTACATGAGAAATTTGATGAAGATCATTAATGAGGGACCATCCAAGTTCACCATATAGTGCTGCACAAGGTGTGTTCCTTGATGCTTTAAGTATAAAACGTGCCATTTGCAATTGCAGGCGTTCTAATTTATTTATGTCTATTCTGCTTAGTGAGCACCAAACTGCACAGCCATAATTCACAGATGGTAGTCCAATGGTTCTCCACAGAATATCACCATGGTGACTCTATTAAAATTATCGAAGTTGCTAATGATTGACCTAGCTCACTCGTACTAGTAGTAGGCCCCTTATGATTGGGTGGGAGGGGGGTTACTATGGAGTTTAGTTATTTAAGGTTGATCCCAACTAGGCCTAATAAAATGATAATTTAACTTCTTCATGTATATTGAATGGTATGTTATTTTAAAATTCAGTGTTAATATAATTATTTATTTCTTTGTTTTAAATAATAGAAATATTGGTATGCTGATTTGTGTTTCAGATGTTCACCGTGTGGTAACTATACAAATGCTTTTAGAAACCAGGCCAACCACTGTCTGATGATAACCTTTGATGGAAGAAAACATGGAACGATCGTCGAGGCAAATACAGTTTGGAATAGAGCAAAAGTTTGTTTCAAATGTAGATTTAATGATAAAAAAAATTAAAAAGAACGTAGCAGCATATCAAAACGAAATTAAACATTGTATAAATATTGTCTTGTTTGTTCATTTTAAAGTTTTGTTTAGTTAAAAATTAGTAAAAGGAATAAACAGCCTCTAATATATTGAGTATAAAAATAATGTCTCAGAGTATACTTGTTCTTTGTGAATCTTCGAGTTGAAAATAAAAGATATTTGATGTAGGCTACAGCAGCGAATCAAAATAAAAATTAGTATTGTAGAGAATTTTGCTGATCGAAGACGCTCGTTTACCTAAACAGGCGTGGACATGCAGGGGTCTTGGCCTAGTTTCACCATTTTCCTCCATGGTTTCACGAAAAAACCTCAATGTTTGGGGTTATCTTTTGGAGCATTAGCTAACCAAAACTCTTAATCTCAAATTTCCAGTCAATTTGGTATAGTTACTCGCATTTTAATCAACATTATTCAACATCAAATAATTTTATGTGCTTTTTTGGGAAGGGTGCCATCCCTGAGATGTCTAGATAATCTCGTCATTCTCAATCCTGCAGAAAAAAAAGATCAAATGACGAGATCCTGGGTCTGCTGATGTCTACATTCTTCAGAAGAGATGATCAGATGACGAGATCCTGGATCTCGTCATGTCTACATCCCTCAGAAGAGATGATCACATGAGGAGATTCTGGATATCGCCATGTGTCAACATCCTTTACATCCAGGATCTTGTCATCTAATCATCTCTTTTAAATGATGTACACATGACGAGATCAAGGATCTCGTCATCTAATCATCTCATTTCATCTTTCTATGTGAAAAAAAACACGGCTTTTCTTCATTGCCATTAAATGAGAAGTATATATTATATAAAAAGTATGAAGTAAGTTATAGGCCTACTTATAATAATACTAAAGAAAATTATGAATTAAAAATGAACATAACCAACTCGACGTAAGTGGGACTTGAACTCTAGCAGTTGTCGTAATGGCGAGGAGTGATGTTGGAAGTTACCATTCTAAAGAACCCGAGCTTGTGAAGCAGTGGCGTAGAAGTCTTGAAATGGGGTGCTGTGGCGTATCTAGACGTCTTGAAATGGGATACTGGACAGGATGGGGGAAGCTCAAGTGGGTGAGGGGGGGGGGGCGCAATGACCAGCTGTTGAGGGGTGCTATAGCTCACAAAATAAGGGATTTTAACTACTTCCCATTATTTTTTGGGGGTAGGGAGACTGGGGAGGGGGCTCGAGTTATTTTTGGAGGGGTGTGCACTGCTGTGAAGATAGACCTAAGTGCTTTTTTAATTAATCTACCTTGCATATAAAATCGAGAATGAAAATTGTTCATGCATTTGACGCTGTTTGTGTTTAAGTTTGTTAGTTTGAAACTCATTAGAATACGCAAATTGCGTCATACAACATTTTAACAACTCTTTTATTGATATTCAAAATATGTAGAACGACGTCATATTTCAGTATGCACTTTTATCTTAGATGTGGCCTTTAATTGCTTGGAAAAACTTTGAAGAAAATTAATGCACGGGAAAGTGACCAAAATGCCGGACGGAAAACTGCGCACATAACGGGGAGAAAAAAAACCACAACAAAAACAAGAACTGTGGGGTGCTTGGCGTATCAAGAAGTATGTTGCTACGAAGAATTGAACAAGAACTGTGTTTGCTAACGCAGGGAAAGCCAATCAGAACAAAAAACAATACAATTATTACAGTATTATTATATTCATGAGTTTTCCCGGTACAATGAATAAAAATATTATAATGTACTAAAAATAGGATTTCACAAAATAACACACACTGAAAATATGAAAAATTAAAATAGAGAAAATATAATAATAAACTATATCTAACAAATCTATCTTTTAACATCTTATTTGCACCAGAAATTATTCATGAATCTGTCAGTGTCTATTTGTTTTGTTAATGAGGTAACATTTATATTGGATCTTAAAACATTTTATTTAACACAGCAGCTTCAAATTAATAAGATATTCACCTAGTCACAGTTCTTAGGATCAGTCACAGTTACTATAGGAGCAGTAACAGTTCCTATAGGTCACAGTTCCTATTGGAACATGTAGTCACGTTACAGTTTCTATAGGATCATATTGTTATCAAAGTATACCTACTGCTATTACTGTACATTCCTTTTAATGACATTATGTGGTGATATACTTTTGATGGATTTATACAGCATTGAATTATGCACGGTTTTTAAATTTTGTAATAAAATGTTTTAACTGGTAATTTAATTGAAGTTTGATGGTTTTAATTATAGCTCAATTGTTAATAAAATATTTTAATCAATAATAATATATTTTGAATTGTTTTATTTCAATTTTTAATGTATCAATATATTGCTTCCGAAATATTAAATGTATGCCTCAATTTAAGATATTGTTCAAATTTTAGATTTTTATAACTTCTTTATACAATATTGTCGGTTAATTAATATTAGATCCTTTTTTCTGTATCATTTTATAAATATTATTGTAATTAATGTATGAATTTTGATATTCTCAATTGTTTATATTTTGACTGTTAATTTATTGTATTCTTAATGTAAAGCGCCTTTGAACATGATTATTCATGAAAAGGGCGCTATAGAAATTTGGTAAATAAATAAATAAATAAAACTCATTATTCTGGATAGGCTAGGCCTACTGTAGTCAAAAATGTAAAAATCGATTGAATATACTGGGTTGCGATGATTTATAATGGTCTTGTTAATTGCTAAAGATTGTTTTTATTTATCTATCTAATTTTCAGATAAAAGTCTAATATTTAAGATTGAAATATACATTAACAATTCGATTTTTAAGTTACACGGTTGCAAAATTGTAAATTTGAAAAGTTAGCCTTTGTGCAAGTCAATGCAAAACTCTTTTCTTAGTGCTTAAAGAGCGCCTCCTTGTTTTGCTCATCAACTCTATTTGCATAATTTTGTGTACATGACGTCATACCGACGGATCCTCACACACACATCGATTAACACAACACACGAAAGATCGTATTGGAGGAAGATAAGTGTTACTATAATAATTCAAATTTATGAGAAGTCTTGATTGTGTTCGATGCATTTACTAAATGAAGCGTACAATTTCCTGAACCTGCCGTAGTTTATTCTGGAAATATAGGTACTTGTGTGTGTTATTTTTTTTCCATAATTTTGATTGCGCTAGGCCTAGCAAGGCCTTGACTTTTTGTTGGGTTCTTCCTACCTAACTGAGTCTGTCAGTGTCTAGGCCTAGTTGGTTCTTGCTAGGCCTACAGCTTGATAGACACAGACACATTCGAAGGACGATACTAGGCCTAGAGTAGTAGTGGTAGGCCTTGCTGTTATGCTTTCTTATATGCAGTAATGTATTAACTATGCTGCTAGGCCATGTTGTCTATATTGAATAAGTCAAATTATTTTTACTTTTTTTCTTTTTTGTCAAATTAATTCTTTTTTATTCACTTTACTTTAGCTTTATTTTTTAGAATGCTGTGGCTAGAGATACTGTACCATATTTCTACTTCCATTTGCTAAAGAAAGGTACGGTAAATGGCATTACGTCAACATCACCCAATGAAGTGCTGAAATGTGGGTGACGTCATCTTTCAAGATTGGAATTGCAGATCGTCTCCCACAGTGTGAGCGGTGTGACTAGCGAACAATGTAGGCCTACTGAATTAGCACAAGACTAGGCAAAGAGTACAGTATTTTTCTAAGTCATCAATAAATTGGCGAGGGTTCCACTCAGTAATAAGAGTCACGTCATTCATCTATTAAACCATATCAAGCAAGGCCTGAATCCACAGTACCAAACTTTTGACGTAGGTCCAGGCCTTGCTTGGCTCAGTCTTTGGTCTAAACCATTTACATGACAAAACTTGCACTAAAAAAAAACTGAATATATTGTAAACTGTAGTAAAAGGATTAATTAATATAGGCCTACTAACACTTTATAAACCGTATTAACTGTTTTAAATGCACCTGCATCAAAAGTATATTTAAAAAATTTGACGCTAATCATCGTGTGATGGAGGAAACTCATTCTCTCAATCAGGATTTTGGCCGAATGTTTACGTTTGTCGATTGGGGGAAGTACCATAACAGCGAGGGAGTCTGAATAAAGTTCGGTAAATTTACGGTTGCATGTGTATTCAAAGTGTATCAGTGTTTTGGTCAAATTGTACAGCGTGGTAATTTCGAATGTATTTACTGTATAACCTTCTTGGATTAAACTTGGGATGAGATTTTTGGGGGATTGAGAACTTCAGACTTGGTATGACCACTGAGGAATTAGTTTATTACTGATGACTAAAATTTCTGCAGGTGTGTGCTTGCGGCATCAACATTGCACATTTAGTAAAGAGCGCTGCATTGAGACCACAGGAACCCTTACCGGTAGGTGTCTATTGGAACATTACAGTAATGATGAATTTTGTTTGTTATAGGACTCACAACATGGCAGTTGATTGGGATAATAGCGATACTATAATAGCCTTCATTTGGGGGTCAAGTCAGTAAATAAACACATCATCATGGATGTGACTTGTCGTCAGAGTTCATTAAAAGACATCAACAATCGTCTACATGAAGACTGGCAGGCAAAGATCAACCAAGAAGGACGCATCTACTACCTCAAGTAAGATACCAATCACTATTTCATGCGTAATATTGTACTATAGGATAGTATCATACTCCAAGTATCGAAATGCACGCTATCATGTCAGAATTCAGTATTTCAACATTAATTATGTCATCATCAGGAATGAGATATTGTACTGTAGATTTGCTTATTATACAGTTGTAATTATACTGTATTCAAATTCAAATTTCTGAGAGTGTCATTTCCTGAAATCTGGAACGTACCATTTTAATCATATTTTTTTTTTTACCTTAGCCCTAACTGTAGTGGGTCTAGCCCCCACATCGAGGGTTCTTACCACACTGGTTGGCGGTGGTCGGGCCTGTCCAGCACTCAACATTTCCGACCTGTATTTTTAAGCTGCCTACCACCTCTATTCTTCCAATTGATAGTGGGGAAAAAACGTAGGCTAACAAACAAAAACTTTCGTTACACAACTACTAGAATAGGGTGTTGTTGATTAACAACTCATTGGCTAGACAAAGACACTTGCTACATTAAATAGGAAAAGATCAAAGTTTCTGTGGTAATGTTAATTTGATACCCTACAGGCGTAGGCTTAGTTGTTACCCTTTATTGAGCAACACACGATCGAATCGCCTTCAAATCAACGCACATGTGGAAACCCCAAACTAGTTCGCATGAACCATGGAAGTTTGTTTCGTAAATAGACGTTAAATTATAATGTTATATGTTTGTTAATATAATAAATGTAATTTAAGTTGGTATCTATTTCAATCATTAAATATATTACTGAATCACTGTGTTAACTTTTCAAAAACAGTGATAAGAGTTGGAAGCACACTATACCTATTGTTTTCTTTTCACTCTTACTCGCGTCATGAAAACATACACCTTGAGCGAGGCTATTATTCCCGCTCGCGCCTCTCTGCATCCACCCCAACCCATCAGTACTTTCTTAGTACAGTAGAGTGGTTCATATGCTCACTACATAGAACAGCATGATCTTTCTCACTGATCAATTTGGAGATTCCCCATGGATGTGCGTTGATTTTCCGTCGATTCGATGCGTGCGTTGTTCAATAATGAGTAGAAATTCCTTTGTTTTTTACAAATGTTTGTTTTGATCAACCTTGTATTTTAACAATGCTCTTTTTGGAAAGATTTGATTTTTGTACACCATGGATTCATGGGTGCATTCAATCATAGCTATGATATTCTTTGATTTTTTTTATGCCAAACTGGGGTGGGAGGGAGTGGAGTCAGAGACCATGCCCCTTGGGTGGGCGTGGTCGCCGACCACCACTACAAAATGCTGGTGAGAACAGTGCACATCTGTGATCGCCCTCCATGGTCCCCCTTAAAATTGAATTCCTGGATTCGCTACTGGCACTATATCTTATTCTTATGCAGATGGTCTGTTTATGTTTGGAACATTATTTCCTTTCTCCCTCCATCTTACTTTAATACTGTACTCATTAAATACCATCTTAGTAAAAAAATCAAGCTAAAAATCTGGCTACCATAAATCCTTGAATATACGGCACTCTCGTATAAGTGCCGTTCACGAATAACCGCTGCACCAAACCTGGTTTTTTGCTAACAATGCTCTTGAAGAAACACTACAGTTCTTAATTGAGAGTATTATATTACCGTGTGTTCAAAACAATTTTAGATAAGCGCTGGTCTCGAATATGTGCTGTTTTCAAATAAGCGCCGCATTAAAGCCTCCAAAAATTGCTGCAGTGCTTATTTGAGCATTTACACTATAATTTTTAGTGTTTTTATATTAAGGAATCTTTGCCTCCTCAAATATTGAAAAATGTTGTTTATGGTTAATGATGCTACAATGTTGATTTCTTTTTATTGAAGATTTGTTTTATTACTTAAGTTTAATTTAATATTTCAGATTAGTCCGGGAGCCTATTTACAGGTCTGGGCCTCTTTGGTCCCCAGCACGTGTTTGTACTGTAGGCCTACTAGTGTAGTACTGTAGTTAAGAGAACAAGTGAATATAAGTAAAGATATACTGTAATAATTACTATTATTAATATTAAACACAAATTCAGCAAGGCTCACTAAATAGCGAAAAATATTTCTTATGCACATCAACAATTTGCAGCACATAATAATTAACTCATCACCAACAGAGATTGGACGCCATCCATTAAAATACTATTAAGTAATAGCAATACAAGTCCAAACAAATAAAACAACAAAAAGAACCAAGTGCAAATATGGCATATCCAAACAAAAATGCCTTGTCATAATCATTTTAGATAATGTAAAGAGGATGATAATAATAACAAAATTACTAATAGATAATTTAATAAACAAGTAATTAATAATTTAAAGGCATTCATAATGTAGAAATAGTGATTATTAAAAAATGTTAAAAAAAAAAAAAATCGGGTAAAATATAGCTGGAGAGGACAGATCGCGTGACTCATAAGAACTAATCACGTTTCATTGTGAAGCTGCTGACATCAGTACCCACCCATTATTAGAATTAATATTATTCTGTTATAGTTTGACATTTGCTGGCTACTAAGCAATAATTCTGCATAATTAATGAGCTAAAACTCATATTTAGAGTGGCCACTCCCTTGTGTACTATACATGTAACTGTGTACGTAACTGTGTGTACTGTATATGTAACTGTGGGTGTAACTGTGCATGTGACTGCGTGTAACTGTGTGTGTACTGTGTACAGTATGTAACTATGAGTGTAACTGTGCATATGACTGCGTGTAACTGTGTGTGTGTGTACTTTGTATGTAACTGTGGGTGTTTCATATTTACTGAGTTTAAAATATCTGTCAAATATGTTTAGTTAGTTAGTTATTTGCCTGTTATGCCTCTGGCATGTATGGCAGCAACAAAGTCCTTCCACTTAGATCTGTTCTGGGCCAACTGTTGTATGGTACCCCATGTGTGCCCAGAATCCTCAGTTCTGTCTCCGCAGTCTGTCTCCAGGTATTCTTCGGCCTTCCTCTCTTTCTCTTTCCTTCTGGAGTCCAGAATAGAGCTGTGCATGTGATGTCATCTGATTCTTTTCGAAGTACAGTATATGGCCAATCAATCTCCATCGTTTCCTCAGTAGAATAGTTACCATGTTATCCATTAAATAACTAAATAGCTATATGGTGTTTGGCCAGAAGATGCGATGTATCCTTCTAAGGCTCTTTGTATGAAAAACAGAAAGTTTATGTATGTCTACCTTTGCCATCCGCCAGCACTCTGAACCATATAATAGTGTAGAGAGAACGCAGCTTTGGTATAATTTAAGCTTGGGCTTGATGCTGTATTGCCGAGACTTCCACACATTGTTCAACATGCTGAAAGCATTTCTGGCTTTGTTGAGTCTGTTCTTAATGTCTTTTCCAGCTCCCCCATCGTTTGTGACTTTGCTTCCTAAATAAACAAATTCATCAGTGCTTGGAAGATCTTGTCCATCCAGTTGAATAGGTGTGTCTTGAGGGACATTGAGATACATAACTTGTGTCTTTTTCTTGTTTATCTTCATAACTATCTGTTTGGCGACCTCATTGAGCTGAGTTGTTTTCTCTTGTAGATGGTCGTGACAATGAGAAAATAGAGCTACTGTAGGTCATCAGCAAAGTCTAAATCTTCAAGTGTTGAGAAGAGAGTCCACCTGATGCCTCTTGTCTGTCTAGCTGTTGCTTGACACATAACCCAATCGATGGTAATGTTAAACAGAAGTGCCGACATCACACATCCTTGTCTAACCCATGTCTTTACTTCAAATTTGTATTTTGTATAAATTGTGAATAGTATTAGGCTTAATCATAATATGCCTGAAAGTAATAAATAATAAAGTGTGGATTTATATACTGCAAAAAAAGAAGAGGTTTATGCAATCAAAAAAAAAAATCTATAAATATACAAATTAGTCCCATTTAATAAAAGAAGAAATTCCATTCATTCACCTTGCATGCGATCTGCTCACCAAAATATTTCAGTTGAGTTTATTTCACTTTCAAAACTTCTATTCTGTACAGGAACGAAGCATTTTCAGACTTAGTTGATGCAAGTATCAAACTGGTACAATAAGGACGGCAATTATTGTACAAAAAGAATGTGAAAGATGATAGTCTGATCTGCTAAGATTAATAACTGATGTTACTGGCCAGAATTCAAAGATTCAGGAAATGTTGTCAGAGCATGCAAACTTACACTCATGTGGCCAATGGTAAATCATTAATAACTTTTTATTAAAATTTTATTTTATTTATTTAATTAAATAAATAATAATGAATTTTTATTACAACAAATTAATTTTTATATTTTCTTTGAAATTGAAGGGATATTTCATAAATGGGCGTTCACTCATGAGGACGGGGAAGTATGAAGAAGCTCTGATATCGCTTGACCCCAATGTCACCAGCGCTAAAACAACACTGGCTCAGGTCAGAAACTATGTAAATAGTACTGCAATAGTAAGATAGTTGTTATGAAACAGTAAATATAATCTGGTTCTACAAGGTCAGGTCAGTGGACTTATGTAACTGCCAATCATAATGCAACTCATTCTTATACTTAGTTAACATTTTATCTAATGAGTTTCAGAAAATAATTATAATGCTAAATGTATTTTTTAATAATTAGATAAATGTAAATAAAAGTAATTTTTGTTTTTGCTTTTTTTGTATATGATGTTTTGTTACTCAGAATTTATGCTGATCCTTATATTTCCTTTTACAGCCTTAAAAACTTATTTTTTTTATTTAAAAAAAATATTTAACATTAGTTATTTTTAACTAATCAGTAGTAATATTAAGCTTTATTCAGATAATCAAATCTTCTTGGACAAGAAAACAAACTGTTAATGCCCATATCGAATCTTGATGTCCCCATATATAGTTATAATGTGCCCATAAATAGTCATGATGTGCTTATATATAGTCATGATGTTCCAATATATAGCCCTGATGTTATGATGTGAAAAGTACAATTTTTGTTATTACTGACATGCTTCCCCAGGTACTACAGAAAATTTTAACTCACTTACCAACATCGGAAAATTTAAAATGTTCAGAACTTCAACATCATGGTATTCGTGGTAGGTGTGCTCATGGAATGACAACACCATTCAGCGTCTTCACATCTGGATTGGATGAACTGGCGTCAGCAATACTTGTAAGTTTTAACCAATCAGCACACGGAGGGAGTACATAGTAACCAATCAGGTGACAGAGTGAGTGCAAGTAGTAACCAATCAGGTGACAGAGGGAGTTTGTGTAGTAACCAATCAATTGAAGGAGAAAGTGCGAGTAGTAACACTAGCAACCAAAGCTCTTCCACAGATGTATGCTTTAAGGTAATTGAAAATATTTTACATATTATTACATGATTATTGATTTTTATTTATTGAATTATGATGCTAATTGCTTACTATGACAGAAAGAGTTGTAGCCAAGGAGAAGGAAAAGAAGAGGTAGAAAAAGAAGAGAAATGGTGGGATGACCCGTGGCCTATTGAAGAATTTTGAATTGGGGGGGGGTAGGGGTGGTGTGTATTTTATTATATATGAAGGGGACTACCACAGACCCATCATGGTGGGGGGTCTGGCTATGAAATCTTATTTTGCTGGTATGCCTTGTTAACTGGAAGTTTCAATGTAATTTTCTTTGGCGAAATGGAGAGCACCTTCTTTTCTCAATTCGTACTACTTACAGTCAATCACTATCACTTACAGTTTTCACCTTGAAGCAAATACATATTTTTCAAGAAATATCAAATATATTAATATTTTCTACAAAAAAAAGTTTCAAATTTAATAAAACATTTACATAAGCTTTAAAAGTATGGTGTATTTTAACTTGAATTTGCTATAAATTGGATAAAACTCAATAATTCTAATTTTAACAGAGGTTAATTGAGGAATGATTGAGGATTTTTAGGGTTAATGATGGCTAACTATTCGAAAATTCAATTCAAAGTCAAAGTAGTTTTCAGTTTTATTTTCCGCCTCAGCTTCATAGTTGAAGCAGTCAATCTTTAGACAAAATTTTAATCAACACATAACTAATTGCAACAGAAATTAAAGTAGTTTTCAGTTTTATTTTCCGCCTCAGCTTCATAGTTGAAGCAGTCAATCTTTAGACAAAATTGTAATCAACACATAACTAATTGCAACAGAAATTAAAGTAATTTTCAGTTTTATTTTTAAGCCTCAGCTTCATAGTTGAAGCAGTCAATCTTTAGACAAAATTGTAATCAACACGTAACTAATTGCAACAGAAATTAAAGTAGTTTTCAGTTTTATTTTCCGCCTCAGCTTCATAGTTGAAGCAGTCAATCTTTAGACAAAATTATAATCAACACATAACTAATTGCAACAGAAATTTTTTTCAGAATCTGTTCTTGAAATGTACACATATACATACTAAAAGTCTGAAAAAATCCAATGGGTTAAAATCAAATGGTTTATCGCAAAACTGCTGTGTTGAAGCGTATAAAAGCCTGGTGTTGCCAAGTACTTGCTAATTCAAAAAATTGTTAATAATAAGGTAGATCGGCGTGGAACACATTGGTTTGTTGAGTCAAATGAATCTGTTGCCAGGTGATCTTCTAAATAATACCTCCATGGTTGAAGCAAGAGTTGTTAGTAACAGAGGGGGTAGAAAAGAGTTGCTAATAACAGAGAGAGTGGAAAAGAGTTGTTTATTATAGAGGTGGTGGAAAACTGTTGCTAATAACAGAGGGGGTGGAATAGAGTTGTTCATAACAGAGGGGGTTGAAAAGAGTTGTTGACGGAGTGAAAAAGCATTGCTAATAACAGAGGGGTGGAAAAGAGTTGTTCATAACAGAGGGGAGTGGAAAAGAGTTGTTGACGGAGTGGAAAAGCATTGCTAATAACAGAGGGGTGGAAAAGAGTTGTTCATAACAGAGGGGAGTGGAAAAGAGTTGATAATAACAGAGGTGGGGTGGGGGGAGGTGGAAAAGACTTTTTATTGCGTGATTGATTGAATGATTGAAATAATTTTAATTTGTTTTTGTACAGGTGAGCGAGAGCTTAGCTTCTAAATCAGGAAGCAATTCTGAAGACACTTACTGAAAAGATGAAGTAAAAACCAAAGGTATGAATGAATTATTAATTAATTAATAATTAATTAAATATTTTACAATGATTAGAAAACAATTTGTTATGAAAGAGACACATTAGATATTGTTATATCAATTTATTATTGGGGAAAAGGTATCCCAAATACATTGTTGCGTGGCTAAATTAGGTGCAACCTTTAGTTTTTATTTTAGCGAGAGATTTAATTTTAATTATAATTTTGTGTTTTTTCAGACGCCTTTGATATTGGTGCAGTGTGCGCTCAAAAGAAACGAAAGCATTCTGACCCCACTACTGGTATGTCTACTTTCAGTGTTCTTATAAATGCTTTTATACATAATGATTATACCATAATAACTGAGAAGTCGCACGACATTATAGAATCCGTCCCAGTGAACAGATTGTTCATAAGGTATTTGATCTGATGACTGGTGTGATAATGTGAAGCACTTTAATACGTTCGCTGCCAGAGACTTGCATTCACGTCCACACCTCTCCAACATTCCACTATTGTATTGCACGTAAACTCTCTGGCAGTGGTCGTAAGAACCCAGAATTAGTGATTTCAATACAGTTGAATGAAATGTTTTTCATATGGTGGCACCCTTGATAACATGGTGTATGGGATGAAAGTAGGAGAAAAGTCTTGGCAGTTAATGTGTTAAAACCCTTGGAATGAAAACATTCTTTTTTTTCATTTGTAGGTACAGAGTTGAAACCATGTGAACCAAGGTTGATTGCACCGCACCTTCTAACTCGAAGCGACTACGAATGTAGCCTTTGTTTTCGGCTGCTTCACAAACCTGTAACAACACCATGTGGTCATGCCTTCTGTACAGGTTGTCTCAATAGGTGTTTGGATCATAATCCTCGGTGTCCGCTATGCAAGCACTCCTTAACAGAGGTAATTCTAATCGCACCTCGCATAAAAGCAATAAGTAATTGCTCACTGTATCTTAAGATACAGAGTGGGGGTAGTGGGGGACTGGAAATCACATGTCTCCTCAACTCCATTGTAATTTTACATGTGTTGGTAGAATCATTATGTTCTTAAGAATTTATTTTTAAAATGCTATGCCCAACATTTAATTACAAAGACACTATTACAGTATATCAAGTTGCATACTTATTTTAAAAATTCAATACAAATCAAAGAAATTAAAATTTTCATTTGTTATTAGGTTTATTTATTAAAGTTAATACCAGGTTAATTTATTAGAGGAGCGAAATTATACTACATGAATCAAACCAAAGACAATATTTTTATTTCTTTTACAGTATTTAGCAAGCAAGAAATTTTCAGTCAATGTTCTGATACAAAAGATAATAAAACAGTACTTTGAGAAAGAGTTTCATGAACGAGAGGAGATCCATGCGGAAGAAATGGAAGAATTACGGGGGTAAGAATCTTGATGTTTGATTAAAAACAACCTACAGTTTTGTTCATTTCTGCTAGAATATATATTTTTGAATTGATGGTTTATTCAGTCTTCTTCATATTTCAACAAATAATAATGTGATTTAGTTCTTTTAATGTATGTGATTTTCATTGAAAAAAAGAATGATACAAAACAATTTTAGCATAACTTATTTTACATATTGATTTTTCTCTTATACAGGGCATCTAAAGGCCATGGAGAGTCCGTGATCCCACTATTCATTTGTACGATTGCATTTCCCACAATCCCCTGCCCATTGCACATCTTTGAGCCTCGATATAGGTTGATGATTCGTCAGTGTATTGAGTCTGGGTCTAGGCAATTTGGAATGTGTGTTCCATCAGAACAAAATGAGAGAGTACTGAGTTTTTATCTTTGACAATGAAAAATTACACAGGAGATTTTTTACAATACAACACTGGTAACTAGATACTGAAGAAACACCAGCCAGGTGACTTCGCTAGAATTGAAGAAGCCCCAGGCAGGTGCCTTCGGTAGAACCCAAAGAACCCTCAGCCAAGTGCCTTTACTAGAACTGAAGAAGCCCCAGCCAGGTGCCTTCGGTAGATCCCAAAGAATCCTCAACCAAGTGCTTTCACTAGAACTGAAGAAGCTCCAGCCAGGTGCCTTCGGTAGAACCCAAAGAATCCTCAGCCAAGTGCCTTCACTAGAACTGAAGAACCCCCAGCCAGGTGCCTTCGCAAAACCTGAAGAACCCCAGCGAGTTTCCTTAGCTATAACCAAAAAATCCTCAGACAAGTGCCTTCACTAGAACCCCCAGCCAGATGCCTTTGCTAAATTCTGAAGAACCCCCAGTCAGGTGCCTTCGATAGAACCTGATGAAGCCCCAATCAGGTTTCCTTCGCTAGAACCAGAAGGCACCCTAGCCAGGTGTCTCTATCCTTTATTTTGCACTACTGTGCATGCCCCAAGTTCTGGATTGGTTTGTTGGCTGCTAAACACTAGAAATTGTAAATACAAGATGTATTACTAAATTGCCATCCAATATGTGATGTTATGCCATGATAGAGCAATTTTAAATATGAAAAAAATATATATATTAGCAATAAGTAAACATGGCTGTAAGTTGAAAAAAAAACTACCTTATTTGATAAGGATAATGTGATAAAAAATAGATATTAAATATTTAAAACTAAATTTAATTTTCCATTTCTCTTAGATTTTCTGATTATGGTTGCATGCTAAAAATTGAAGAAGTGCAAACATTGCCAGATGGAAGGTCAATCATTACAATTGTAGGGGGGAGGCGATTCAAAGTGTTGAGTCGGGGAATGCGTGAAGGGTACAACACAGCCAATGTGAGGTTTATTGAAGATGACACTGTACAAGGTATGTAGGTTTACATTCAAATAGTCTTCTCATGACTAAATAATGGAATTCTTTAATCCTCAATTTAAAGAAACTTCGTCATTGCACCATTTATCGTATTTGAAGTGTTGATGATGGTTCATTTTTGGATGAATACATTTTACAGTGACCTGTGACATTCATAATATATAATAATAACGTTATTTGAAAACTACACTATCAAATCAGTGGCACACATCATGTCACAATAAAACTATAAAACCACAGACAAAAAATGATGCATGTATACAGAAATAAGAGACAGCTTAACAGACAATTCAATAAAATGTACAAAGAAATTTAAAATCAATTAATTTTAAACTAAGCATTTAACACC